CAGACGCACGGTCGTGCGTCTGGGACGCACGATCGTGCGTCCATTACGAAAATACGGCGATGCTTCTGCCTGCTACGCACGATCGTGCGTAGGCAGGGACGCACGATCGTGCGTAGCTCCGTGTCACGCGTGGAGTTTTCCCAATTCGGCCCAAATTCATATTTCCCCCCCTTTTTCTATAAATAAGGCCTCCCTAACCCTTTTAAGGGGTTACGAACATTACGGAGAGGCCTAGGGACGAATTTAACACCGTTTTTACGCTAGTTTCTTCCAAGACCCTGGGATTATTTGTAAGTTCATCTTTTTAATTAATGACAATTAATTCTATTCATCTCAATTCTGTTGATTCTTCAATTATGAATTGTGAGTAGTTTAATTAGGGATTTGGGGTTGATGAAGGGGCTAATCATGATGTATGGCTAGATTCTTGTCGGTTTAATTGCATGAATGCCGTTTAATTTGTGTTTGAATAATTTAACTGATATCTCTTGTAACCTAGATGGCCACTAGATTTACAATTGCTTATAGAATAAATTAAGAGAGATCTAATTTGTTCTAAGACACATTTACACACACTTAATCGATCGCCAAGAGATTGTCGCATGAGAGATCAGCCTGGACCCCTAAATTATTGTACTCTACGCCGCGAGAGCGGTAAGAACTTAGTAATGATTAGCTAGGCTCAATTAGATAAAATTCATGTGATTAGGCCTGTTCTGCCAGAAATCTGGTTAACCCCGGAATCAATTCCTGTTCCCTTCGTCGTTAATTAAGGAAAACCAAATCTTTTTATTCGTTCATTAGCATTAGTTTTAGTTTAATCAATCAACCAATCTCGCACAATTGCACTTCTATTTTATTTATTTCTTTTTTATCGCTAAGTTTAGTTAATCTTTATTTCCCTTTTGTCTGTCCCTGTGGAGACGATACTCGTACTTTACACCACGTTTCTACAACCATTTTAAGTGCGAGAAAACACTCATAAAAAATCTAACCCCGATTTTCAAAAGTCTCTGAAACCTTAAAAGAAAAATACTGGAAGATGCGCTTCGTCAAGGAGACCAACAAACTATCTTTCTTTTTTTTTTGTTTCCAGCCACCATGTCGACAAACAATCCACCGGAAAAGTGATATTAACAAATTCATTTTGGAAAAAATAATTCAAATATAGAGCCGAAAAATTCAAAGAGAACGATAGTTTGTTCGTCGTCTTGACGAGACGCACCTCCCAGTATTTTTCTTTTAATGTTTCAGAGACTTTTGAAAATCGGGGTTAAATTTTCTAACGGTGTTAGATGCCATGCCCCTGCTATGATAACGGAATTGAAGCACATGTTCCACTTTGTTAAAAAAAGAAACACGTGCCCCTATTTGAAAACGGCCTAAACCACATGTACCTTTTCTGTACTTTCCCTATAAATTTTGATATTATATATACTCCCTCCGTCCCAAAATTATCTTCATTCTTTCCTTTTCGGTCCGTCCCAAATTTATCTCCTCTTTCCTTTTTTGGCAAAGAATTTGTGGTTCATAACCATTCTTACACATTTCTCTCTCCTCTGTACAACTCTCCACCACAAATTTCCCACTATCTTAATATGTGTGCCAATTCAAAAGAGGAGTTATTTATGGGACGGAGGTAGTATATACTAAATTTGATACTACATTTTTGTTTATTATCATAAGGCGCTTATATTATTAAAATAACATTCATCAGGGGTACAAGAACATGAAAGAACCACATGTAACCATCCGCCTTTGGCCGAGACTATGGGTTAATCACCCTATACAAATCAATATAACACGCTAGACCTAATTTGGGCAAATTTAAGCAACGATGCTTACCGCAGACCTTTCTGACCCCAAACCTAATGCAAGAGTTTTACAGCAGAAAAAGGAGTAAAAACAAAACATGATAGTCTGACTGTGGAGTAAAACGAAAATAAATAAAATAAACTGATAGGGAAACCAAATCCATGCTTCAAACATCATCCTCGGCGGTGGCTCAGGAGGGGGACAGATCATCAACCCTTCATCTTGAAACATTCCTTGCAAACCCACCACCACAATTTCCACTGGCATCTACTTAATCCTTATTATTATAGCCCGAATGAACCCGAAATCCATTCTTACCTTCCCAATCGAAACCAGTGGCACAAGCGAAGAGTCCATAACCCGAGCAAAATCACGATCCAAAATCACCTCGCCGCTCTGGCCCAACCGAAACCGAAACAAAAATTAGCACCACACTTTCACCCCGACCGAACTGCAGAGCCGCAGCCAGTCACCTGAAACCTTCAATGCTTGAAGACGAAGCAAGAAGAAGACAAACCCGTACAACCGATCTTCGATTGTTGAAACCGAATTCGGAAAAGCTACCTAGCGGCGCTGCCCTAGGAGAGATCTAATTTTTTTGGCATTACTACAATTATTATTATATAGTACATAGTATAAGATAATATAAAGAATTGGTGCAGAGAAATAAGTTAAAAGAAAAAGAATCATTCACATGGTCTACTTTCACTATATTGTACTCCCTCCGTCCCAGGGAGAAGTTCCCGGGTTGACTTTCACACATATTTAGGAAATAAAGTTACTGAGGGGTAAATTTTACTGTTCGGCACTGTTTCGACACTGTTTGGCACTGTTTCGACATTGTTTGGCACTGTTTTGCACTATTTGACACTGTTTTGATGTAGGATAACTTTCCATTTAGGGAAATGGGAACTTTTTGTTGGGACTACCAAAAAAGGAAAGTGAGAACTTCTCCCTGGGACGGAGGGAGTATTTATTATTATTTTAGAAATTTAAAATTTTCAAAAATTTCAACTTTTTATTTTTTCACTAATTAGAAATGAAATCTCACATAGATTAAATTTAGGGAAAACTATCAAATAAGCACCCCAACTTTTTAAAAAAGTCAATTAACCCCCCTACTAAAAATCCAATCAATTAAACCCTCAAACTCAATAAAAAAAAAGGCAAATCCCCACTTTGACCGGCAATCAACAAGTTGCCCGGTTATTTTGTACAAAGCAGTTTTAATTTTTTTCTATTTTTTCTTTTTTCTTTCATTATTCCTTTTCTTTTTTCTTTCTTTTTACTTTTCTCCTTCACCTTCATCTTTCCCCTTCCCCCTGTTCCAGACTTCCGGTAAACCCCCTTCTTCCATCTTCTTTGTTCCACATTTCCACTCCCGATTTAAGAAGAGTCTTCTATTCTTCACTCCATCCGCCGTTTTATAGCTCCGGGAGCCATTTAGAGAATCTCGCCGGGAAGTAGTGACGACCAGGTCGTTCCTTCTCGTCCAGCAACTCCGGCTGAACTCTGAAGACTCCTCTTTTATAGGTTGCGGAAGGCTTGTCCGTCGGTGCCAGAAACCATAGATCCTAGTAGTGGATGAGTCCTTCCGACTACTTCGTAGCTCCGATCCGGCTATAGGCCACAGTCGGCGGCAAAGAAGAGAATAGGCGGAGGTCGGAGGAAGCATACACCAGCGAAGGGGTGAAGTGAGGCCGGGAAAAACGAGCAGAGAACTAGGAAGGAGAAGAGAAACATGAAAGAAAGAAAGGAGACATTAAGTTGCAGGTGCTAGCCTGCTAGGCACAGATCGAGAAGAAGAGAGGCGCATGGAGGAAGAAAGGGAAATGTAATAAAAGGAAAAGGAAAAAAGGCCACCTCAGGCGCCACATACCCAATCTGACCGGGAACTGGGAAGGTACCTGTTAAAAGGAGGATTTGCCTCTTTTTTAATAGTTCAAGGGTTTGATTGATTAGATTTTTAGTAGGGGGGCCTAATTGATTTTTTTGAAAAGTTAAGGGGCTTATATGATAGTTTTCCCTTAAATTTATGTGAGATTGTTGAAAATCCTTTTTAATTTTCAACAATCTCCCATAGATTATTTTGTGAAATTATTTGCTACAATAATCCAAGATCAAGATATAAATTCAGGTCATTTTAAGATGATTCAAAATGTATATGTAATTAGTTAGTGCAAGATTATCAGATCAAGAAAATGCAGTTTATTAAAAGACAATTGTTGAGAGACATAAATAAATTTTGAGATTATTAAAAAATTAATTATGTCGCAATAACTAAAAGGTAAAAATCACAAAAAGTAATTAATTTTTGGAGATCATCAATGGAGATGCAACTTTCAACAACTTGACTTTCACGTTTGTCAACACACAAATTTGACTGTAATTATATTTAATTACATATAGTTAACATTAAAAAAGTTAATATTTTGGAAATGTACATTAATAGAAATTTGATAATATTTTATACATAGTAGCTTGATTATATATATTATTAAAAAATCATAGTAAAAGTAAGATGTATAAATAATGCAAACATTCCAATGTTGCAACTTTTAAAGAACGGAGGAAGTAGTTCTCACCTTAAAAATATGTTGCTCCTTCACAACAACATAAACTTGGAGTATTATACATACTTCGTACTCCCTTTGTCCCACAATTATCTTCTAATTTTGTTTCTTATCTGTTTCAAAATGATTTCTTCTTCTTTTGGTAAAGAATTAAAGAATTTGGGGTTCACATTATTTCTTATACGTTTATCTCTCTCCTCTAGACAATTCTCCATCATATAATTTTCAATTTCTAAAACATAAATTGGAAGATTAAATTGTTGCCTTCATATTGATCGATCTATAGAATTTATTTTGTAATATTTTCCATTGTTTATTACCATGTTATTAATTATGCCAAAGATACATCCCATTAATTTATGAACTATGATGTAAATTGATGTAGTCATTAATCCCGAGTATGTTATATAACTGGAGAAACTATATCAGCTGTTACTATAAAATTCTCATTTACGTTATGAATGAATGAATTTATTAGAAACCCAAATCCGTTTACATGAATAAGATAAATAACTGCAGATGAGTACTTAATGCTCGAATGAGAAAAAAAAAACTTCATCTAATCAAATCAGTTAGTTGATGCAAATTATATTTAAGTAAAGTCGGCTATAAAAGCTATCTAATCTGCCCCACGTACATCTATCACTCCAACTAAAGGCTAGGAATAGAAAAATTAAAGGAGATGAGCATGGCATGTTATTATTTCTCACCATGTTCATTCTCGGTTCAAATTATGCTTCTACTTGCTATGTTGTCTTCCATTCCACTTTCATGTGCTACACCTTTCATCATCCTACATGGTAAAAATGCCAAACCTTAGCTTCCTTCAAATTAAATTGTATATATATGCATGCTTCTCCCCCACCTCCCCCCCACCCCCCCAATAAAAAAACCGATGAGACGCATTGTGCGAAGAATTGTGCGAAAAAAACCCATGAATAGCTTGGGCAGTACCGTTTCATGCTAGGAACAATAATTGTGCGAAGAACAGTAAGCGAAGAGCAGCAAGGGAAGAATAGCTAAGCATATTACTTCCTCGGTCGGTCGGTTTATAACCGATGCCTAATATGTAAAACCGACGACCGACCCGTTTAAACTTATGTCGGTTCGGTTCACCGACCGAATTTGTCGGTTTTCATTTCGGTCAAATTTAATCGGTTTTATCGGTTCGGTTTCGGGCGGTTTTTCGGTCGATTTCGGTTTTTTCGGTTTTTCGGTTTTTGTTCACCCCTAATATATATGATGACGACAGGCCTTGGAATGCAATGCAATGATGAAGCAAGCACTTTTTATCAGACGTCGCTAAGCATGTTGGCTGGAATTAAAGGACCATGTGTGTAAGTCTAAGTCCCCTTAATTCATTAAAAAGTTAATTGCAACCATTTCCTTTTTTACTACATTGACAAATGTTTATATATTAATGTATATACTACGTATTATATGTGGGACCGGAATATAATATGTGTATTAAAATATAGAATATATAAATAACATAGTAAAATGATAGCCCATTTAGCAGCACTAAAATTGGCCGAATCAGGTGAATATGTTGTAAGTTTTGAAACTTTTGATGAAATGCCTGAGTTGATCGGATGAATTATGAAAAGTTATATTTAAAATATAGTTTATTAAAAAAATAATGAAAAATTTATATGTAAAGTTAACTAAAATAATCATCTACATAACTTCAATTAATTCATTCTGAAAAGTAACTACAACCTTACTTGTTTTGAGTATTACAGTTTTTTGTGTATGAAATTAAAAGTTAAGTATTTGCGAAAAAAAGTTACTCGGTCAATGATAAGGTCGATAAACTGAATATAGTTGCGCTAACAAACGGCCGCGGGCTCAAATGTACCTCGTATGATATTCAAATATAATATCAAAATGAAAAGTACAATGTCTTACTAAAGTTAATTGGTATATCATAAGAATAATTTAATGTCGTATAATTAATTATTTACTAAAGTTTTATGTCATGTTATTACTTATATATACCAATTTACTAGTGTAACACCCGGGGCATGCCCCGGTAGTGTCACGGTGATATGAATTAAAATGATAAATATCAATAGTGGTCATAAATTATTTAAAGAATTTCTTAATAACATCTTTATGTTGAAAATACATGTTTACGATACTTTTTTAGAAATTAGAAACATGATTTTAAATAATTTTTGTGTATATGTGATGAAAACGGTTAGCAACACAAGAGGGGGGGTGAATTGTGTGTGTGTGGAACCGTGACAGTTTTTCGCCGAGTTCTAGTGTGGGATAAAGGGAATTGCGAAATAGTAAAGGCACAAGAATTTAACGAGGAAAAATCCCTTGGCTCAAAGGGATTGAAAAACCTCGACCTCCCTCGGAGGAATTTTAAACAACTTCACTAAACAAGCCTTTGAAAGAGTTACAAGAGTGATTCTCCTAATCTACCCTTGAGCCTCCCCAACTCTATCCTCTCTAGGAAGAGTTATGCATCTCTACCTTGCGGGTAGAGAGCCTCTCAGCTTTATCACAAAGCTCTCACACACACTTAACCCGAGGCAGCTACTCTAGCCAATTAAGCCTCAATATTCCAAGTACAATATGAAAGGGAAAAGAAAAACTCTATCTAGAACTCCGTGTAGGCAGTTTCAGGCACTATGGACTTGATCTTTTCTCTTGAGTGATTATTCTTTTAATCTCTTTCTTCTCGAACGCTCTTCAATGAACCACCATCTTGTGTATATATATAGCTCTGCTTTTGATAAACGTTGGCTCCTTTCCTTGCTATGCTGAATTTTGAATTCCTTTCCTTTTTTATCACTTGTCATTTTTGGAGCTAAAAACATTCGTTAGTCATAATCAAAAGACTTCAAGCATTTTTGAATTATCGAGCACGTTTATTATGGAGAGTAACTTATTCAGCAACCTAAAGAATGGTACCAATTTACTTGCCTATTATGAGATCAATCGGGTCATATTTAGACACCACTATTCAAAATATCTAATCAAATGATTAATTACTAAAGGCTGATTATGGTAAGCAATTAGGCCATGATCGGTCAACCCACATGCTTAGGCAATCAACCGAAAATATCCCATTTGATATAATTAGTAAGAAAACCCTTTTATATGTCCATATAACATGATCTGGTCAACTAATGTAAAGGTGGCAAGAATATTCGAGTATTTCATCAAAGGAAACTTTCCTTTAACTAAAGATCACCACTTCCCATAAAGACTTAATTAAAAAGTTAATTTATTAAGGACAATATATTCATGCAAGCCTAAATCGTAAATCATGCAAGTTGAGATTCTCTCCATAAAGTATAAAACCAAAAAGGGCAATATATATATATATTTATGAAAGCTAAATTTAAATATTGTTACGTAAATCATGCATGCACGTTTTTCACTTTCATAAATGATTCGCTCAGAACGCATATGAGTTTCATCTACAGTTCTGTCAAGTACTCGTGTTAGTACACCTGCATGGTTAGTGAAAGAATAGTTCTATCCTTAGCTCCTTATGAAACTGGAGCGGTTCTCCACCTATATGGTTAGTCATCAACAAAACCACATACTCAACAAATTCCCCCTTTTTGTTGATGACAAACATTAGGTGCCATAATAGAGGTGTCCCTGCAGATTAGTAACAAACATGAATACTAGAGTAACACACAAAGGGGCACCTGACCTTTCCCCCTTTTGTCATCCAACAAAAGGAATAAAATTAATGCCCAAATTAAAATATCAATTCGTTCCCCCTTAGATGAGGCCGGAAGATCCTGCATGCTTGCTTCGCAACTAGTAAAAGAGATTAGTTCCAGTGATTCCCATTATTTAGGAAATAAGAAGTAGAACAAATACTTTAGGAATGAATTAGACCGAGTTCCAGTCTAATTAGTTCGAACCTTTCCCTTCCCAGCGGCTTGGTAAAGATATCAGCTATTTGTTTCTCGGTGTTGCAATATTCCAGCCTGATTATCCCCTTTTCCACGCAATCTCTCAGAAAATGATGTCGTATATGAATATGTTTTGTCCGAGAATGCATGACTGGATCCTTTGAGATGCTAATAGCACTTGTATTATCACACATAATTGGTGTGCATTTTAGATCAACTCCGTAGTCGCTTAACTGTTGCATGATCCACAGTGATTGAGAGCAGCATGATGCAGCAGCTACGTACTCAGCCTCCGCTGTTGAGAGTGCTATTGAGTTTTGTTTCTTAGAACTCCATGAAACTAGACATGGACCCAGGAAATGAGCAGTTCCAGACGTACTTTTTCTATGTAATAAATCACCTGCAAAATCAGAGTCGCTTTGAGATGGGACTCCTTGGGATTGGTCTGGAACCGTGCACATAGACCTACGCTGAAAACTATGTCGGGTCTACTGGCAGTTAGGTATAGTAAAGACCCAATCATTCCTCGATACATCTTTTGGTCTATGTTCTTTCCCTGTTCATCTGAGTCCAGCCTATCATTAGTCCCCATAGGTGTAGTCATGGTTTTGCCTTCACTCATCCCGTACTTCTTTAGGAGTTCCTTGAGGTACTTTTGTTGAGATATTTGAGTTCCTTTACGAGTTTGCTTGATTTGTAGACCAAGGAAGAAGTTAAGTTCCCCCATCATACTCATCTCAAATTCGGAACTCATAAGATTTGAAAATTCTTCACAAAGGGAATCGTTAGTAGCACCAAAAATAATATCATCAACATAAACTTGAACAACCAATAGGGCTTGATCTTTTATTTTTAGAAAAAGAGTTTTATCTATTTTTCCTCTTTCAAAACCATTTTCCAAAAGAAATTTAGATAGGCGTTCATACCAAGCACGAGGTGCTTGTTTGAGGCCATAAAGTGCTTTATCTAATTTGAAAACATGATTAGGAAAATCTTGATTTTCAAAGCCCGGTGGTTGTTCTACATATACCTCTTCCTTTAGATATCCATTCAAGAAGGCCGTCTTGACATCCATTTGGTGGAGGGTGAAACCCATATGAGCCGCAAATGCAATGAGCATTCAGATTGCTTCTAATCTAGCCACCGGTGCAAATGTTTCGTTGAAGTCTATTCCTTCTTGTTGGTTATAACCTTTGACAACAAGCCTAGCTTTGTTCCTTGTGATTTGACCATGTTCATCGAGCTTGTTCTTGAATACCCACTTGAGACCTATCACGGTCTTGTTCTTGGGTCTCGGTTCTAGATGCCACACCTTATTTCTTTCAAACTGATTTAGTTCTTCCTGCATAGCTAGAACCCAGTCAGTGTCGGAGAGAGCCACTTCATGGTTCTCCGGTTCTATAAGAGATAAATAAGAAGAGAAAGCACAAAAGTTTTTAAGTTTAGATCTGGTTGTTACTCCCTGATTTAGATCGGTGAGGAGGTTATCCAGCGGATGTGATCTATGAAGCTTCCAACCCCTAGGAGCGTTGGGTTGGTCCACAAGGTTGTTGAGAGTATCTGAAACTGGTTCTACTGGTTCTACAGGTCCAGTGTCAGTGTTTTGTCCAGGTTCTTCTTCAGTTCCAGATTGTTCATTTTCATTTGTTAGAGGTGGTTCATCAGTTTGATTGTCAGTTCCTTCATCTCCTTGAGATTTTGATTTCTTGCGAGTGATCCCTAGCTCACCATCATCGGATTGGATTGATTTTGGGGCAAGTGCTTCATCAAAGATTACATGAATGCTTTCCTCCACACATTGTGTGCGTTTGTTTAGAACTTTGTAGGCCTTGCTATGTGGGGAATATCCGAGAAAGATTGCCTCGTCACTTCTAGCATCAAATTTGCCGATGTTGTCTTTCCCATTGTTGTGGACGAAACATTTGCACCCAAAAGTTCTTAGATGACTTATGTTGGGCTTCCTCCCCTTGAGCAGTTCGTAGGGTGTTTTCCCTAGGAGTGGACGTATCATGGCTCGATTAATGATGTAGCATGCTGTGTTTAGAGCCTCTGCCCAAAAACTCCTAGCTAGACCGCTGGAAATAAGCATAGTTCTAGTCATGTCCTCCAGAGTTCTATTCTTCCGTTCTACCACTCCGTTCTGTTGTGGAGTTCTAGGTGCGGAGAAGTTGTGGTCTATCCCTCGTTCTTTGCAGAAGGCATCGAAGAGAGAATTGTCAAACTCAGTTCCATGATCCGATCGGATCTTGATTAGTCGTAGACCTGTTTGATGCTCAATTTTCCTTACAAAAATAGCAAACTCATTAAAAGTATCTTTCTTGCTAGCAAGAAAGATAGTCCATGTAAATCTTGAAAAGTCATCAACAATAACCAGAACATATTCTTTGTTTCCTCGGCTACGGACTGACATTGGACCACACAAATCCATGTGTATTAGTTCTATGGGCTTG